TGATACCGTGGCTTTGTCTCAGGAAGCATTCTGACAGCGTTGGGTCAATCTACCGATGGATCATCGGCATCTGCAGAACGCAGGGAAGTGGGTGTGCGGCTATCGCTTTTGCCCCTCGCTCGCACGCGTGGAATAGTGCGGAGTGGTGCCTGACGCCGCGTGTGTGTGTCTCTCTCCGTGTCTCCCTCTGTCCATCTATCCGCAGGGGGAATGACCTAAAGAAGAACGGGCCCCCAGGGAAGAGGTGCAACGTGAAGGACCCCCAGGTCTCTGGTGTGACCAGCGGTGAGGCCTGCAGACACCCTGAGCGGAAGGAGAGCGATGTCGCTCGGTCGCGCGCCCGCTGCTCGGCCATTGCCTAAAGGCCGAGCCCTAGCGACGAATCCGAACGCTGGCGAGCGCAGTCTTTAACAGACTGTCGGGGCAAGTGCCGTTGTGCGAGTGCCTTATTAAGGGCCGGCATGGCGCATGATGGGGTGGATGTGCCGGCGCCACGCCCCGTTGCTGATGTTTTAATCCACAGCATCCAGGTGCTCATTTAAGGCTGAGTCGTTCTAGGGGAGGCCCATGCCCGGTTCAGATAATTGTCACGGATGTTGGCCGTGAGTGTGTTCGTTAGCGCCTTGTGCTATGAATCCGGCGACCTGAGATAAATTCTTGGCTACGGCAAAGTTCAGTGGCGAGTTTTGTGTGAACCAGTACTGAACTCACCCCCCCCCCCTTATTTCCTCCCTCAATCCACACTGATCCAAAACGGTGAAGTATAGCCAACCATTCCCAGCGGTCACCGCGATGTGGGAAGGCCTTCACTCAGCAGTGTATTGACAAAGGGCTATAAATTAGAACCACTGTACCATGATCGTTGTTGGGTTGGAAGAGCTGCATTTCGTTTGTAAGAGGCCTAAAAACTGCAAATCCCGGAATTAGATTTTTTAAAATCCCCTAAGATTCTCTCCGTAATATCCAGGGCTTAAGGCTGGTAGAGTGTGAGTGCGTGAAGCCCTGACTGTGGATTCAGCTGCGTTGAGTGTCTGGCTACCAGGGGATCTTTCATGGAGGGAGGCATTTGATCGGATTGGGGGCATCGAGAGGAGGAGGAGGAGCAGGAGGGGAAGGAGGAGATTCATGGGCTGGCAGCAGAGTGCCCGCGCCCACAATGTGAAATCTTGGCAGTTGCGAAAATGCAAGATAAGCGGAAGCTATTTATAGCTGCCGCTCTTGTGGATTTCCTTTGGCCGTGGCGGCGTGCCGCTCTCTGATTGATCGCGGCTTTTGGCGCTGCCGTCGAGTTGCGCTGCAGAGGTTGCGAGCGTTGGGCCGCTCGGCCTCTCCATGGCCGTCGGGATGTTAGAAGCGCCACGGTCTTGCGCAACAAAATCTCTCTCGTGTGCAGCAGCGGTGGCAGCTTTATGGGTAATGCCGCAAGGTTTACATAGTAAGCTATGTTTCGAAAGGTTGCACAACACGGCGTTTGCCGAAATGTTAACGGACGTGGACTGAACTAGTTATGAGTGTACCGGTATTAGGAGAGTGACCTCGCCACCACCAACATCATCATCACCACCACCACCACCGTCACCACCGTCATCATCATCACCACCACCACCACCGTCACCACCGTCATCATCATCGTCGTCGTCCCTATTGTACCAGTGCCCAGGTACTTTTGCTGGGATGAAGGTAAAAGAAACACGTGAGCGCTGTGGGTTGTAGGGCGTTCCAAGCAACACGATTCATCTGAGCTCGGCTGAGTGACGGCCGCAGAGCGTTGGAGCGAGCAAGCGATGACGCCCCGACACGGAGGCGTGCGAGCTGTAGGGTGGGTGGAGGCACGGGTGTAACTAACGGTGCATCGGTCGGTTTGGCGATCAACAGTGACCCCGCTTAGGCTCACGATGCATGCGTCGCACGCCTTAGAATCAACAATCGTCTTTGAATCCAAAGTTCCCGTTGTCACATAGGTCGGCAGCCCCATGTTGTCTCTCCGTGAGTTTCTATTCTGTGCCTCTCCTCCAGTCACATTCACCGTCCTCGCATCTCGATCCACCGCATCCTCGGTCTCCCTCTCCTCGTACTCCTGCCCCTTCTCAACCGTCTATGTCTGGGCCCCCCTTAGCCTCGGTAGTAATCGATCCATCGTTATGCCCCAAGCTGGGAACGTCGGGGAATGAACCCAGTGCCAGTGCTGAGAAGCAGCCGTCTAAATGTCAAAGACCGTTTTTGAGATCTTTATTGAATGTGAAAATGTAAATAAATAATGAGTCTTGTAATCATTGATGTATATTTCATTGTAGATACAATTAATATTCCTCATCATATCGATCAGCCGTGCTCAATCCACTGTTGGATTAAGGCCTCCCCAAGCCGCCGGCAGCTCGAGTGGACTGGCCGTCGCGAGGCGGAGCGGCTCCACGCGGCGCCCACACAATAGCCCAGCGTTATTAAGCCACGAGAAAAGGGTCCCCTGGCCAGCGCTGTGCTCACATTAACGTCAATTACACCGGCGTCTCCCCCCTTTGTTCCTCATTCAAGAAGCGGGTCCTGATTGTAAGAGGGACCCGCCACCCATTGTTTCCACGGGGGGTATTTGTCCCGCTGCGTTTTCCAGCTGGGGAAATACTAACTGACGGAGCGATGTGCGCGCGCGTTTACGAGCGCGCACATCCCACCACCCCCCCGCCCCCACCTCGTCCACCCGCCCGCGCTCGCTCGACTGGGCCCGGGGGACGGCTCCAAGTGGTACGGGGCCCGGGGCCGACACCCGCGGGTTATCGCGATCGATGCCCCGACGACGTGCGGGACCGCGCGGCACGGTGTGCGGCCCGTGCACGCGGTCACTCCGGTGCAGCAGCAGCAGCAGCAGAATCTGAATCTGCATTTAGGCTGGAGGAATCCGATGAGCTACTGAGCTCTTTTTTCACAGATGTCCAGTGGGGGCATGGGGTCAGAGCGTTGCGAGAAAACACGACGAAAGCAGCAGCGTCCTTGTCACCCATGATCAATCCATTGCTGGAATGATCATCAGCCGTCACCGTCTCTCACGGTCCCCCGACTTCACGATCTGTCTAGCACCAGGTAACGACTTGCGCTCGGTATTGTTTGCATAATTATTAAATTATGTGCACTCTGGGGTGGGGCGGTGGCACATTGGTTAGTGCACTGCGCTACCAACCCAGCGACCTGAGTTCGATATGTGGGCCACGACTAGCATGGTAAAGTATGGTCAAACAATTCCCCCTCCACTGACATGGCTAGCAGTGGATTGACAAAGCATAGCAGCTTGTAGAAAAAATTCACTCTTCTCCTCTCCTGTATTTGAAAGCGATAGTTGTGTGTGACTGGATTTGTACAAAGTGACACAGGGTCCACACGTAGCCGTGTGTCAAAATGTACAAACCGCAGCTCCGATTAAGCGCGGTTCACTACGCACGGTGCGAAAGAAGTTGACCATACATCGTGGCTTGCGTCCTACTTTCCGGGAGCGCCTTACGCTCCGCGCGGGCGCGTGCAACGCTCGTGCCATTGCAAAACGGGACGCCGCAATCCGGGCGAAATATTTTGTCCGTAAAAATTTAAAAATAATTCCGCAGCCGCTCGACCCCCACGCCGGCACCGCTGACTCGCGCGCCGCATCGCCCGCTGTGCCAGGGAGCCGGGGAGCCGGCCGGCCGGCACCGCCGGGAATGGCGAGCACGCACAAGGACCTCCTCTCCTCGGAGCCGCCCCCGCTCCCCGGGGGGGGAGCGGCGGCGGTGGTGATCGCGGCGGCGGCGGTGGCCGCGGCGGCGTGCCTGGGGGCCGGCTGCTGCGAGTCTGCGGGCGCCGTCGGCGGAGGAGGCGGCGGTGGCGGAGGAGGAGCGGGGAAAGGCGGGGGGCCCGAGGGGCCCGGCTTGCTCGCCGTGGAGGTGGCGACGCCGACGGCCGTGGCGGCGCCGCTGCCCGCGCGCTCGCTGGCGCCCAAGGCCGGCGACGGCGGGGGTCGCGGCGGCCGCAAGGAGACGCGGCTCAAGGAGAAGGAGGGCGGCGAGAAGGAGGGCGGTGCCTGGATGTACATGGAGCCCGTGCGGAGCCAGGCCCGCAGCCCGCGCCCCGCCTGGCAGCCGCCGCACCTCGAGGTGATGCTCGTTAACGATTGCTCGTAATCGTTGATCCGGACGATTGCCGTAGTGAGTGAATGTTGGGGGATCGCGAATAGATTCGCGAATCAATTTGTTCGTCGCCTGCAGGGTTTGTGCGAAGCACGCGAACCGGTGGATGCTTGCCCGCACGGTGCGGAGCACGCGTCGCGAGCACAGGAATTGACGTCGAATCGCTCGATGCGAGGAACTCCGATCACGTGCACTGGATCGCAGGACCGCGACAGAGGGCGACAGCTTCTGGAGGCCTTCATTCGGCAGTGGATTGATCATGGCCGATGTTGATGATGATGTCAATGGGGTAAACCGCCCGACGAGGTCAGCGCGGTACCCCCGATAGCGTCGCACCCGCACCCCCAGTAGCCACTGACTCCACGATCGGCCGTTTTTTCTCCCCCGTGACTCCGGCAGCGGCAGCAGCAGCAGCAGGAGGACGACGAGGAGGAGGACGAGGACGACGAGGATGACGACGACGAGGACGACGACGCGGGCTACGGGATCGGCGAGGAGCGGCAGGGCTGGGTGTGGCGCAACGGCGCGCAGCGTGGCCGCCGCCGGGGCGTCCGCCAGCCCCCCGGCTCCCGTGCCGACCTCTTCTCCCGCGGCGGTGGCAGCGGCGGCGGCGGTGGCCGTGGCGGCGGTGGCGGCGGCGGCGGCGGTGGTGGTAGAGGCGGTGGCGGTGGTAGAGGCGGAGGCGGTGGCGGCGGTGGTGGAGGCGGGCTCGGCGGTCAGAGCGACTTCGAGAGTGGAGAGGACGAGGAGGAGGAGGAAGAGGACGAGGATGAGGACGACCTGGATGAGGATGATGATGATGACGAGGATGAGGTGGACGAGGTGTCGGGGACGAGGGCGGATGGCGGGGAGAGGCGGAGTGACGGTGCCGTCCCCCCACCCAAGAAGAAACTGCGCAAGAAGCGGCCGCCCTTGGACGAGTCAGGTGAGACCGCCGTGCACTCCGGCTGCCCGTTGCAGGCCCGGCTCCTCATTCTATCGCAGCTTGCGAGAAGCCGTGAGGGGGGGGGGTGGAGGCTGCAGGGGCTCGCTTCCCCAGGTGCGGGTAACGACGCGCACGCGGGCGGGCGGGCGATGGAGCGTTGACTGGAATGCGGGAGTGATGTATGAATGGGCGCGGGACGGGTTCTCCGGGGAGATTTCAGCGCTCCCGTCCGGCGTCGTGGGCTCGCGAAGCCGCCGCCGCACGATGGCCGTTGCCGATCACGTGGCTCGTATTCAAGTCCTTGCGAGGGCTCGCTACACTTTTTGTTCCGGGGGGCAAATTCAATTTCGTGCCCTGGCAGGGTCGTTGAGATCTGCCGATCGTGCCCCTTTTATGCACGAACCTCGATCCCGGTTGCGTTCTTGGGGTGGTCCGGCATTTGCTGTGGTGCCCCCCCCCCTCCTCCCCAATGTGGAACTTCCTGCCGTGGGAGATCAGGCTCTCGGATCATCGTGTTGAGGTCTTTAAATCATAATTCGTTTGTTTCACTTTGGCTCTCATCCTGCCACCCAGTTCTTTAACATATTTCTCCCTTTCATGCACGAAGCCTTGAGTGTTTTTTTCTTTCTTTACGGAGGGTTCCTTATAGGTGCTAAATTGTTATTAATAATTTGGGCTCAGTTACGGAACTTACACGTGTTACCGAAAAGCAAGATCAGAGGGGGGCTGGTGTTTCTCACTTTCTCTTCAAATTCGAGGAATGGTCCACCTCTAACCACACATTTAAGGCCACGGCCAGTCCGTGCAAGGTGGCCCCGTGCCGGCGACGTGAATGATGAAATGCCGCTCTGCTCATCAAGACCGACGCGGTTGCCTCTCACCACTTTGCTGGGAATGTTTAGAATATGAAACATTTAGGTTCGATTCTTTTTTTTATATTTTCATATTTTGGTATCAGCAGCAAGCAATTAGCCACCGCTAAGTACAACCAACAACACGTAGCACCACGAAACAGCCAAAATATATATATTTTTTAAACATCACAACTGAATGTGTCACGTTCATGAACTAATCTAATCGGATTGGCAAACATCCACACTCTAGACAAATAACAAGATCCAAGGCCCAGAGCTTGATAATCATTATCTAACCATTACACAACCAGCGAAGCAATCAATTTGCCTCCCGTAAAATGTGATTATGGGGCCGTCCATAAATGACGTCACGCACCTGGTGGAGGGGGGGTCAGACATTTGTGACGATGTGTGACGAGGGGGGGGGGGTGTTTGAGAAATGTGACGTCACATCAAAATGCGCAACTTTAAATAAATATAGACAACACGTTCTATTTAATTAAATAAACTTTTTGATAAAAAAAAAATCTCCTACAAACATCAGAGTGCAGCGCCACATTAATACGCACTACAATGACAATAGTTTAAAGCGATTTGAAGCATGTTTCATTTTCAAAATGGAAATATGGTTTGGGGGGGGGGGTAGAGTTTTGTGACGTCATATTAGAGGGGGGGGGTCTGACTTTTTGTGACGCCGTCTGACGAGGGGGGGGGGGGTCAAAAATCGTCCAAAATCGCGTGACGTCATTAATGGACGGCCCCGGCGCCGTTTACTGGGTTATGCATGCACACGTTTGCGTGTGCGCAGCGTCGATGGTAATCTTTGCACACTCGTGGATAATTCCTCACGAGCGCATGGGCGCGCGAGAAGTTTTTGTCAAGAGTCTCTTAAAATCCTGGTGGACGTCACTTTGCCCATCGTCACAGCTTAACATTGTTTATTTCCGTCCTTCTCCGAGAGGCCGGTCAGACCGGGCGTGCGAATTCCTCGCGCGAAGTGGGCGGCGGCTAAAGCCGCCCAGACTCTTCCGCGGCAATAAACGCAGCGAGTGCGACTGAAACGGAGATGTCGGCGATTGGACGAACAGCCGCCGTCGGTGGCGGGGCTGGGGGTTTCGGGGGTTCCACCTTCGAGTGAGCGGGGAGGTGGGGGGTCTCTGGAGCGCACGACGGCACGGAGTGCTCGCTGCAGCCCTGGGTGACTGCGCTCACTTTACCGAAAAAAACCTAAGAATATGAATCCTTGCAGTCACGAAAGCTTCAAATCTAGAATGAAGCTCTTTCATTGCAAAGGGGCTCGGTTGCCGCTCGCCGCACGCTCTGCTTCGGCAGGGGCCCGGCCTGGGAGGGGTGAGGGGCTGAATGGGCGTTAGGAGCGTCGTGCGCGGCGTGGTGGTGTTGGCACGGAGAGGCGTTACACTCGCCGTCCCGAAGCGCCCGACTCCGCGGTTACCGCTGGCCGCGCCATCGGCCGATGCATTCCTCGGTAAAAAAAACAAAAACACTCAGCCTAGTAAATAAAAAATACAAGTCGAGAAACCTGTCCTGGCACTCGTTAAATTCTTGATCGTCTTAATGTGGCCGCGCCGCTCGCGGTTTTACACTCGCAGGGGCCCAATCATCCCGGCGCCATGAATCATGGCGACTTCGCACAGGTAATGCAATTCATTCCTCCTCTCGAATGTTTTTTTTCCTTTCTGAAAAAAGACACCGTTCCATCGTCCGTGAGGCGATTCTCCTCACCTTCGTTCGCGCAGGTGAGGCTTGTTCTCTGGTAAATTTCGGTCGGTGAAATTAACTCCCAATATTCCCCGCGCTTGCCAGAGATGAATACCCACGGAGTAGCAGAGCAAAGCTCCGAGAGCGGCGCTTTCGTGAGCGGCGCGCTGCCCGTGACGTGGGTGCCATTGACAAAGTTGCGGCCATTATTAGCCGAGCGTGGTCATTACCTGCCCAGTGGTGGGTCTCGTTTAATTTCGCTGAGGCGCGTAACGGGACGGAATCGGCGTGGAAGCCGCGCGATGTCTGCCGCAGAGAAGAGGGCCCCGTCTCGCTCGCGCTGCGGGAAAGGACTTAGCCGAGTGGTTGAGCGTGATGGCAACTCACGCAAAAAAAAAACTCTATGCGCTCGATAATAACACTGTGGCCTTACAAAAATAATTAGCAATGTTCCAACTGATGGCCCTTCAACATTGGCACCTCCGATTAGCACGGTTGGCTATGTACGGTGCAAAAGAAGTCCAACATACTGTACATGTGGAAATGGCACAAATGCGATCTGCTGTGAAGAATATGCTCTGGAGGGGGAAGCCCATTGCCCAAAAGCTCACCTCTTTAAATATTTTCATTTTTGGCCACAGTGTCATCGACGAGCGTGTTGAGCTTTTTTGGCGTCATTCGTGCGCCACTTCCAACGTAGCAGCGAAAGAAAATGATTTGTGTTTACGTGATGGGAATTGGGTTGTTGTCGTTGCTGCTGCCGCCGCCGCCGTCCACCGCACACCGATGATGCTCCTCGACGCTGTCGCCGCCACATCGCGCCGATTGAGCGATCGCGTTGCGATGAATACCTGGATTGCCCTATGGGGTATGGGGGGTGGAGTAGGTGGGGGTGGGGGAGTGCATGAAGCTGGGAGGCAGGGAGCAAAGATAAAGCACACACGCGCACACAGACGAGCCACTCAAAGCGGGGAAATTAAACTCCCCGGATAGAGTCGGGACGTGCGTGTGAATTAAGCGATTACGTGAAGAATAAAAAAAAAAACGCCACGGGCGATCACCGCTACATCACGCATCCAGTTTCGCGCGGGCATTGCCGCTAAATTTAGAAAGCGCGAGAGGAGGAGGCGTTGCCGGCGGGGCAAACCTCGGGGTTCGTGGGTCGCTGTCCGTCGCCTCCGTCGCTCCTCCTCTCTGTCCGCCGACACGGAGCGTGACGAGCGACGTCGCGGCGCTGCGATGTCTCACTGAATATTGTCCGGGTCCCTGGCAAGGCTGGGGTAGGTGTGCGTTAGACCCGTGTGTGTTAGACCCGTGTGTATTAGATTGGAGTGCGTTGGGCCAGTGTGTGCATTAGGCCAGTGTGTGCGTTATGCCAGTGCGCGTTCGGCCTGCGCACGCTAGTTAGGCTGGTTGTGTGCTGCTCACGAGGGGGGCACCGCAAGCGGCGAGCGTGTGCGCAGACAACCTCCCGGCCTGCCGGCGTAGCAAGAACGCAACGCCGATGATTCCCCAGCCTCGCTCCTCCAGCGGCTCGCTCCCACCTCGTCATCGTCGCTCCGGCCGTGGGGGAGGTCGATGGTGGTGGTGGAGGGGAAGTCGCCAGCGCCGTCCGTCTTTAAAAATTTGTCTGAGTAAATATTACGGGCCGGCGGGGCGGTCTCCGGCCGCGGTTAAGTAACGGAGGGCAGTGAGCAACGATCAATCACTTACTTCGATTGGAACCATGTGTGCGTCGGTCCGAGATAATTGTCCTCCTAGCGGGGGAGATCTGGTCGACCGGGACAAGGGAGCGGCACTTTGTGGTTGTTGGGGGTTATTTTTCTCTCTCCCTCTCACGATTTGCTTTCAGGAATTTGTGGCCGTAACACCGGGCGACGTTGCTCTGCTCTCGAGAGCGATGTCACAGGCTCTTATTTTCATTGCGCATTGAAAGGAATAATACTCTGCTGTGCCGTGGTGATGTCCACAAGCGTTGCCAGATGATTTCCGCAAGAGCAAACGAATCGCCTCCTCGTGAAGTGCGCTGCGGTGTTTGTACATCGAATCGCACCGGACGTAGCCGGCCATGCTATAATCGCATAGAGCTGGACAAGTGTGCGTGGCCATCTATTAAACTTTCACAGCCCACACTTAAGGCAACGTCGCACTACAGCGTGTGTGTGTGTGTGGGCGTGTGTGTGTGTGTGGTGTGGCGCGTGTGTGTGTGCGTGTGTGGTGTGGCGTGTGTGGGACGCGGTAGTGTCGCGGTTAGCGCGCTGTG